TTCCTGGAAGAAATTGAGTAAGAATGATGACCACACTGATGGTAAGGAATGGGTGGTTGGCATAAAACATAATTTGGGAGCTAGTGAAACAATCTCAAAGCCAAGTGGTTGGTCCAGTTGGGGGGGTAATGTAGTTCAGACAGATGATGTGGCCTCTTCAATGGCACAAAAAACAGAATAGGTAGCTTAGTCAAAAGCTTCCCTTAACTGGGCTTCTTCAAATAATGATGGTCTAGGTAAAGAATTTCAATCTCTGAAACTCAAGAAGGTAAAGTCACCATTCAATTCCAAGAAGTCCAATGAAGATAAGGACTCTGGTAAAGAAGGGAGGGTTGATAGAAAATTAAACTTGGAGGCTGGAAAAACAAGCTCAAAGGTAAGTGGTTGGTCCAGTTGGGGAACTAATAACGTTTAGACAGATGAAGTGCCCACAATAAAGGCATAAGAAACATAATGGGCGCTCCGTCAAAAAATTTCCTTCACTGGGGCTCTCTATCAGGAAAGTAATAAGAGTCACCATTCAATTCCTGCAAGTCCAGTCAGAATGAGGACCACACTAATGAGAAGTCAAGAAATGGGGGGTTTATAAAAAATAACATTTGGGGACTGAAAAAAGAATCTCAAAGGCAAGTGGGTGATCCGCTGACACCATAGTTCTGGGAAGGAATGGGTGCTTCACAAAAATCAAAATTTGGGGGCTGAAATGAAAAGAAAAGTCGGTCGTTTGGTAGGAGGGCCAATACAGTACAGACACAAGATAAACTCTCTACTAGATCACAAGAAGCATAACACCTATCTCAGTCCAAAACAACCGTTGCTTGCGGTTTAGGAGATGAGGGCTCGAGTACAGTACAACTACAATCTCATACAGGACAACATAAAGAATCTGTTGTCAATGTCTGGATTTCCAAACAAACTTAATTTTGAACTTCAAAATCCCCAATCAAAAATGAAAACCCTAATTTATGCAAAACAAACCTCAATGTGGATGATGGAAGGGAAATGTGTGAGGATGTTTTCAGGTCTTCATCTTCTTCGTTCTTGTTACAGCTCTCGCGGTGAACTTCGTCTTCTTCGCCTCCTCCGCGGTGCTCTTTGCGTCTCTCTCTTCGTCGTTGTTTGTTGAACTGCAGCGTGTGTGTGTTTTGAACTGTTGGAGCAAAACAAAAACGTGGGTACATATCACTTTTAACCTCAAAAAAAAAAAAATTGGTGAAAACAGTATTCGTAAAGCCGTATTATAAAACGGCTTTTCTAAAACTGTTTTATGTATTAAAAATATTTTTGGCAAACAATATTTATGTTGAAAATATAAATTGGAAAAAAATATTTACTAAAAAAACGATTTCACCAAAACCGTTTTTAATTAACTTAGAATTAATTACACGTTAAGTAAAAATGACTTTTGAAAAGCTGGTTTTGTGTAGGAAAATTTTATTATTTTTTTATTCACAAAAAAGGACATTGGTAAAGCCGTTTTACCCTATAATGAGAATAAAGAAAAAAACCCACCCTAGAGTGGGAATAAAGTTGTGAGAATGGCATAGTCAGGGAAAAGTGCCGACTACTAGTTATCGTTATCTTTCTTCTTCATCCCTCATCTCCTTTTTTATGTTTATCTTGTTCGATTTCATCGTTATTTTTAAACGTCTGTGTTTATGTGAATCTTAAATTATTCGTCTATAATAGAATATTATTGTTCGTTGGTATTTATTTTTTAAAATATTTAATATTTCATTTTGCTCATGCTGAACCATGAATTATTTGCTTATATTAAACATTTTGTGACAATATAAAATTGGTCACTAATTGCCATTTTCAGCGACACTTTCAAAAATTCGTCGCTAAAGATTTTTCTAGACGCACTTTTAGTGACTTTTTTAGTGATGAATTCAATTTTATCACAAAAATCATTTAGAGACCAAAATAATGGTTTTAGGGACCAAAATAATTGGTTGCCAAAAGTCTTATGTATCGTAGTGAATATTCATACAAAAAAATTAAGATGACCGAATATGTTTTAATTACATTTGTTTTGAAAATATGGACGACAGTTATAATTTTTAAAGTAACATTTGTTTTAAAATATGGACAATAATTTTAATTTTAGTTGTTATTTATTTTGGCATGAATATTTTACTTTACAAATATTAAAAAGTAAACGATTTAAATTATTGAGGTATCTTTCAAAATTTGCCCACCAATGCCAAACGTTCTCTCAACTTGTGATGTGCAACTTATCTTTCTAAACATTTTTTTGGGGGCATCATCCACCTTATGCAATTGAGACATTTATTAATCAATCTTATTTATTAAATTTATTTATTTATATGTTTTGATTATAAATATATTATTATAAATTTATTTATACCAAAAAAAAATTATTAATAGAATTTAATGGGTAATAAATTTTAAAATTGATAATTTATCCGCAATCAAATTACGTATTCCATCATCCTAGATGAAATTGAGTTTGGCAAAAGTGTGCGTGGTTGAAAGAGTGGTGAGTCTGCAAGGCCAAGACAAACTGTTGGTAGTGGAATATCCAATAATCTTGCAAAATTCATCGCTGCATTTTTTAATCAGAATTCTATATCCGCTGTGGCATTGAATAAATATACAATTTGTTCATACAATGTAAAAAATAAACAATATTTGATTGGTTTATTTCAGTTTTTGGTGGATTCACTCATTGGTATAACCAGTAGCAAGTAGTGTGTATTATTGATATTTACGTGAACAAAATTGCACTCGCCATTGAACGCAACATGTTCACAAATTAATAAAAAAAAAAATGTGTGGTCTTAGGACCACCGGATTCCCATAACATTTATTTTGTTTTGAAAAAATAACAAATCAATTGAAGGTTGAAAAATAAATTTTGAATTAATTGTAAAATTTATAAACTTTAATTATTAAAGTCAATTTTTTTATTTATGTATATCTAATTATTTTTAAAAAGTTTAGCTTATTTATAATTTCTCCTTTTTTTCGTTGTGGAAATAGAATCATAAAACACATACTTTATTAATTAACCTTTTCATTTTATTCACAAAGACTTACTCGGAAATAGGATTGTTGTTGTGCCTTTGGTACATCAGTAACTATTGTACTTTAATTTGAGATTATTATAGGTATATTTTTTATGATCTGACTGTTTATTTTGTAGAGTTTGTCGAGTATTTCAAGAATGTTAAAAATCATATTAATCGAATAATAGTAACCATGTGATCGAATTACATTTGTCATAACAAAAATAAACAATCTATTTTTCTTTTAAAAAATAGTATAAAAAATATATTCAATCTGATCATTTACCTATCGCTATCTGATAAATATAATTTTTGATATGCATAAATCTTACAAAATAAACGATTCAAATCATAAAAATAAATTTATAATAAATTTCAAATTGAGGCACAACAATTACTAATATACAACAACAATCCCATACCTGACTGACTCACTAGTGTATAATATAATGACAGATATGAAATTAAAAATGAAATATTATGTCATAATTATTGTCAATTTTTCTTTCCGGCTGTTTCGTAGAGAATGCAAAATAATTTGATAGGCAAACATTACAATACCCGTTTGGATTAAAATTGTCCCAATTAGATGGTGAAGAGTACAAATTGATAGGTATGTTTACAAGGTAGTACTTATATGTAGCTTGCAAAGATTATGTACGGGGAGCAAATATTCCGGCAAGCCCGTACTCCTTTCTTCCGAGCTCCGTCGATGTCCGATCACCTGCGAGCAAGTAATGGTGAGCTACCCGGCGGTGTGTGGCCGGAAAAACCCTCCAACGGTCAAGTTAGCACACACCTTAGGATGAATGGAGAGAAGGGAGAGAGTGTTTGAGTGTAAGAATTTCCTTACAGAATGTTCGTGTGTCGCGTATGGGGGGCGCAGACATGCTTATATACCTTCTGAGCCCCATATCCACTCCCAGTCATCTCCTGACACGTGGCTCTGCTATCCCATCTGTCAGCATAAACCATGTCATTCATCACCTAACCTCAACTGCCTGTCATCACAGCTGGAGCTCGGCAGCCGAGCTGCCCTATCCGTTGTTGTGCCATGCCGTGCTCCATACCCTAGCACTCCATTGGCCAAGACTGAGGAGGACCGGGCTAGGCGGCATCTCGGCAAAGCCTAGCCCGAGGTCCATCAATTGAAGGTTGAAAAATAAATTTTGAATTAATTGTAAAATTTATAAACTTTAATTATTAAAGTCAATTTTTTTATTTATGTATATCTAATTATTTTTAAAAAGTTTAGCTTATTTATAATTTCTCCTTTTTTTCGTTGTGGAAATAGAATCATAAAACACATACTTTATTAATTAACCTTTTCATTTTATTCACAAAGACTTACTCGGAAATAGGGTTGTTGTTGTGCCCTTGGTACATCAGTAACTGTTGTACTTTAATTTGAGATTATTATAGGTATATTTTTTATGATTTGACTGTTTATTTTGTAGAGTTTGTCGAATATTTCAAGAATGTTAAAAATCATATTAATCGAATAATAGTAACTATGTGATTGAATTACATTTGTCATACAAAAATAAACAATTTATTTTTCTTTTGAAAAATAGTATAAAAAATATATGCAATCTGATCATGTATAATTTTTGATATGTATAAATCTTACAAAATAAACGATTCAAATCATAAAAATAAATTTATAATAGATTTCAAATTGAGGCACACCAATTACTAAATATACAACAGCAATCCCATACCTGACTGACTCTCACTAGTGTATAATATAATGACAGATATGAAATTAAAAACGGAATATTATGTCATAATTATTGTCAATTTTTTTTTCCGGCTGTTTCGTAGAGAATGCAAAATAATTTGATAGGCAAAAATTACAATACCCGTTTGGATTAAAATTGTCCCAAAGATTACATCTGAACTAAAAATTTCACTGTTTTGGACACGTTGGAATTTCATTGTTCGAAGAAAAATCACATCACAGTGATAATAAAAACGAAATAATATAAACCAAACAAGCCCTAAAGGCAGGGTCGTTAAACGGGGTCATGTCTTGGTCGCGTTGGGTATTCGTTCGTCTCCACGACTGTCAATTTTGCCGCCACTACCACTGAAGAGAGAGAGAGAGAGAGAGAGATGTTGGAAGCAAAGAGTCTGAGGAAGGCGATGGTCCCTTGTTCACTGCTCGAACATCCCTCTCCCGGAAGCGTTCAGTCTACTCGGCTCACCCTCCATGTCCTATTCTTATTATTTATACTATACTATTCATATATAATGATTGTCTCTATCAAAATCCCAATCTTAATCGTCTTTCTGTTTTTCACCTTGCTTTTGCTTTTGCTTTCTCAGGTTAATGCCGACCATTCTTCGTGCTGGGTCTACATCGCTTCTGGTTGCCGCATTTACAAACTCCAGGTTTAGTCTTTGCACTCTCTCTCTCTCTCTCTATATATATATATATGTATATATATTTATGGTTTTGAAGGGTCTTGATTATTGATAATGATGTGTCTATCTGTAAATATGGATATCTACTACTGCGAATTGAAATTTGAAGTTTGATTTTTGTTTGAATGTTTGGTGTATTTTGGCCATACCGGGTGAGGCAATTCATGATACTGTTTGGGGGTTTGTTTTTTGGTAGTTTTTTTGTTCTTTTTGGGGAAATTTTTGTTAAAACAAATTTTCTAAAAGCTTTACTTGACGAAAAGAATCAGAATATTATTATTACTTTTAAAATTCCAAAAGAAAGTCTAGAAGATACAAACATAAGCCAAAAATAGTGGAATTTTTTTGGCTTTCAGTTTTTTTTTTTTTTAATTTTCAAATATATATATATATATATATATATATATATATATATTAGATTCACATACACAAGATAGACTAGAAAAGTAAAAAATTGACATAATTTTGAAAAAACAAATCACTAAAGACAAAAAATATATAGGTTATTTTTGGGTTGGTTTGAAATAGACTATTTTAGTAACTTTTTGGCTAAAATATGAAGTGAAAAAAATTAGTATATTTGTGATGAATTTTTAACTTTTTACGAAAAGAAGTATAAAAAGTATGGAGGAAAGGAAATCTTTGACTTATAGTTTTTTTGGCTTTTTGGCCTTTTTAACGATTTTTTTTTTTTTTTTTTTTTTTTTGGGGTTTTTTGTTTTTTTTTTTATTTATTTATTTATTTATTTTTTTTTTTGGCATTTTGGCTATTATTTTAAGTTGCCAAAACAACCTTTAGTTTATCGTTAGCTCAATTTTGTGAAATACTTTTCCTGCTATTTAGTGCAACAAAAATTGCTTCTGAATAGGACAATGTAGGTTACCAGGGTATTGTCTGATGTTAGTGTTGTGGAAGTAGTTTTCCTTCTTTTGGGAGGAAAACTAACAACAATTTGTATCTCAAAAAGGAGAAGATGTGTCCTTTGAATTAGTTGACTGATATGGAGTTGGTCGCTAATAAGATCAAGAAATATCATTTTGCTGATTGTGTTGACAGACTAGTAGCTTGTATGCATTTGGCTGAACCCATGTTGGAGCTAGCATAGTAGTGAATCTTACTAATTATATATATATTTGTAGATATCAATGCAAGATTCTTTGGTCAATCAAGGAAAAGAAAGCCTCTTGATTCCTGAGCAAACACAGGTGTGTGGTTGTAATGCTTTCCACTTGCAAAATGAACATTTTGACCTAGCTTCTGTTTGTGTATGTTCGTGATTGTACCTCTGTAGTGTACTTCATAGTTATTTTTCAATTTTATCGTGTATATGAAGGTTATGAGCTCTTCAATAGTTAATCGCTGCCCTCATCGGTCAGAAATTCAGAGCATAGCACTTGCTGAAACAGAGAGTGAGTGACTATTTGTCATATCAATCATTGATATCTTTTTAAGAACTAATTGAAGAGTGTACTTTTTGAGCATATTATTAGCTTTTATGTCTGCTTGTGTAAAGTAATTTTGATAATATTACATTGTTTATGTATAGTTGTATTTATACCACAGTATCTAATCTCCTTCTGTGCATCTCAAGGATAAGTCAGGGACTTGGGGTTAAATAATAAACACATAATATGGGAATTCAAGCGATACTTTGGAATAATAGGAATTTATATGAGGGCTAGGTAACCGTTATTCCCTGGTCATCAGGGTGTGTAAGGTTCATGAGAGTGGACTTATCTTGCTACTTCACACATGTCTGACATCCAGGTTCTTGAAATTACTGAATCAATCATGGTATGATGAAGCAAGTTTTCATTTTTAATGTTTGTTTGTTTGTTTTGTTCTCATAATGCCACAAACTTTAGTGATCGTCAAGAAATTTCATTTTACAACATGAGAGATGTTACTACTGGCTTAGTTTCCAAATCAAAGCTATACTGACTGAATTTGACAAACTTTAGTATTCAGTTGATTTCCATAACTGATTGATTATTATACCATTTTCATTAGGTAACAATTTTCTTTTCTGCTCAAACTGCAGATGTGATTACTAAAACATTGTGGAACTTAGGTTTTAGTTGAGACTAAGGACTTCTTGCGATGAGTTGAGTTCTAAAATTTTGTCTTTAGAGGTTGACAAAGATTATTTCCTTGGAAGTTTTGCTTCAATGGATATGAAACTAACTCAATTGATACTGGTGATAAGACAAAAAAAATTGAGTTTCTAGAAGTAAGTTTCTTCTTCTTCTTCTCTCCCCCCCCCCCCTTTTGGTGTCCCCCCCCCAGCCTCTCTCTCTCTCTCTCTCTCTCTCATCACATTATGAGAAACATTGCTTTCGTATTTACAAATACAAGTGAAAACAGGGGAAAGCTGAGTTATATTTACCACAGTTTTAGGAAATGAGTCCTCTACAACATCTTTTCCTAGAGTAGAGAAAATTTTGGCAATACAATGTTTTCATTGGACCATAGAAAAAAGAAACAGTATGTTGATGGTCACTAAAACTTGGCTATTGTTATCTCAGTTTCCTGAAAGTAGTTTTCAAGAATGATGAACAATTTTTAGCATTACTTTCTGCTCTTAAACAAAACAAAACAAAAAAAGGAATTGTTTCATAATTTTCTTCAAATATGCTCAGTTTCTCAAGTGCCCAACCCAACACTAATCAATTCTAGCTTCCTTGTAATCAACTTTTTTATAATGCTTGTTGTGTCCTGTAAGCCTGGGATGTCAATGATGCCTACATGTGTCAAACCACAGGACTGGATCCTTGTACCAATGATTTTTCGGCGGCATAGTGTAATTGGATATGAATGAGACCAAAGTAAACAAATAAATATCCTCCCTAGTCCCTACTGTAAGCTTCTGAATTTTGTGAAATTTTTGTGTTCTTTTGAACTTCTTTCAATGGAAGATGTTCTTGACAATTGAAATGACCCTAAATATTGGTGGTGGATAGCTGAGTGGCCTTCCTCTTTCTGTTTACTTCATTACTCATGCTTGTAACATATCTGTGTTGATTTTTAAGTTTCTTCACTAGTGGACATAGCATAAACTAGAGATCTATGAAATTATTTGTCATCCCAGTAGTTATGATTGTAGATGTGTGTGGTTAGAACCGTTAGGGGCATTGGACAGATTTAGTTGCTGAAAACAATTAAAAAGAGCACAAAACTTGTTATGAAAGCATATGATTTGGGAAGATGGTGGCTACAATCATTTAAATATGTGAAGCTCTAAACTTTATAGTATTTTTCTCTTTTTCTTGAAGAATCTTGAAGTAGTGGCAGGAATTGATATGATAATTTTTTTCACACTAGTTAATAATTTTTAATCCATGAATTTTTCTTTCTTTTGTAGATTCCATTGGTGAGTCTTTCATTTTTAGTGCTTTCATGCAATTGCAATGTATGCAGGCAGTGGTTACTTGATTTTGGGAAGTGTGGACTCTTATGGTCACCTTATTGTTTCTAAGCTGGATACTAGTGGTAAAGGTACCCTCCTTTTTGGTTGTGTATATTCCTTTGGGCTTTGATTTTATTATGTTTCTTTCCAATAGTCCTAGTTTCATTTCCAATAGAATTTTGGAGACAAATCTAACAGTGCAGATCTCTCTGAAGGTGGGTCACACTTTCTGCTTCCCCCTAAGAGGGGCCTGAGTTTGTAATTGATACTTTTATGTAACAGCCAATGCATTGATTTTCTACCTATACTATTTTGCATTTTCAAAAGAAATGTAATGCTCATTCAATATATGTCTCCATTAGTCCACTAGGGACATAGCTAATAAGCTGACTACCTTTGTCCTGTATTACCTTCATCTTTCAATATCTAATGTATATTCATGGACATCTGTACCATGTTAGAAATTGAATTACAACACAATAGCTAAAGTTTTGTGCCTTAGTAGCTTCCTTCAGATTTCTTTTTTGGGTTTATGTTTGATTTGCACTTCTCCCTACTTATTTCAGATGTTGATAGGCTTACATTTTCAGTATCACCTCGAGATTGTGGTGTTGGAGAGGGTGGTTGGGCAGGGCTTTGCTTCAGTCCAAATCAATGGTCCATGGTATCTAATCGCTTTCATATGTATTACTTCAACTTATGTGGTATGACAATTTGTTAATGTCAGAGAGTCATGATGTTTGTCCATGACTAACAAGCTGGAAGTAACATAAGTAGCTGATATCTGTGTGCTAAGTTATGTTGTTTCCATTGTCCATTCTTCTTTTGTTTATCTTCTATTTCTTCAATCAAAAAATGTTTTGGAGCTCTAATTTGTGAGCTCTAATAGCTCTAATGTGTATGTGAGGCCCATTTGATGTGATGTTTGGCCTTTTTTTTCTTTTTTTTTTTTTTTTTTTTTTTTTTTTGACTTTCCACCTCACTAAAGCTCAATTAGAGCTCTAGTTTTAGAGGGATGTATCATTGTTGTTCTTCAATTCAATGAGCCCAATTCTGAGTCTTGTCAACATCAAGGAGGTTTCACCATTACTTATCTGATTTTAGGCATATTTTTGAAAGTAGAAGGATCAATATGTCTCCAAAGAAACCCCTAAAAGCTGCCCATGATATTCATAATAATTCTTGATGTGTTTACTGATCTGTTATTTTGAACCCAAACTTTGATTGAAAATGAGCTAGAGTAATCTGTCAAATATCATCTCAAGGAGGCCTGAACTAATAAAGCCAGCAATTTTGTAATGGAATGAGTTAATTAGAGAAAAACAATTGAGTTGGTTCAAAGTTTTTTTTTTTTTTTTTTTTTTTTTTTGTTTAGAGATTTTTTGTTAACATGTCCTTAGAGATTTTTTAAAAAATTAGCATGTCATAATTCGTGGCTGGGAAACTTTCAATTCAAGTCATCTTATAATCAAATTACCATATTGGGCCCAAATAAAGGTTACAAATTGCTGGTAATCTAAAAAAATTAGCATATTACCATTTCGTAATCTAAGTGTTTCAAGTAATTAAAAAAAGTTACAGATTGTAGCTGAAATTTTCAATTTTTTTTTTTTATAAAAGAAAAAGTTATAATGTAATATTGCAACCAAACACCATTAGTCAACTTTTTTTAAGCAAATAAGCTAAATAAGTTGACCTATAAGTGCTACTAAATGGGGCTTCTTTTTTTTCTTTTTTTTTGTCCTTATTAGATAAGTTATTGCAATTTATCTATCGGTTGTTGTTTTGTGTGAGGCATTTTCTTTGCAGGTTGTGGCACATATTGCAGAACTCTCAGATATTGATATTCCTATTTGTTTGTTGCATTTTGTGATAAAATGGTTAAGGTGGTTGTGCTATGGATATAGGGAGTTTGGTGTCAAGAGTTGACACATAGAGGTTATCTGACGAGATCTGTTATATGTGGGCAACTATGTTTACAGGATTTTTTTCTCTTCAAAAAGAACTAAGTGTTTCTCTTTTGTGTGTGTGTGTGTGTGTACATGCCTATGTATGTATATATGTATTGCATGATTCTTCTTTTAAGAATTGAACCTGCAAGCCTACCCCTCCCTCTTTGATGCCATGGCTGCATCATGGTGTTAGAACACCTTTGCTGTAAAGTACACGTAATTTTGGGCATGTTGTTCCTAGAAGTATATTGTAATAAGGAAATTCAACAAAGTTGTGGCATTGAAACTGTTGACCACCTTTAAAGATATCATTGGTAATAAACTTGAACTGGAGAAGGTTTCACATATCATGACGGCTACTGTTGATTTTTTTTTTTTTGATTTATGATAATTGTTGGGGCATTGGATTTATAAACTGAGTGCTTGGTTTAAACATATTCAAGAAAAAGTGATTCTTCGGTTTTTGGTTTCTCAACACCTGAAATTCTTCTTCTTCCTTTTATCATTATTATTTTTGGTGTGTGTGTGTGTGTTTGTGTTGTTACAGTTGATTCTGGAAACCATTTCATGTTTTCTGCTTGTGTTTCAACTGTTGTCTGTCCTTAATCAGATTTCCCCATTACACTGACTCTTCTATTTTAGACAGCTGTTGCACACAGCTTCTGCAGAAGCATTGATGTATATGACCAAGATATTCACCTCCAGACTCTACGTACGTAAGTACTGTGTGTGGTTCACTGGCCATCTAATTGCTATTTATAGAGATATGCACCTTGGCAAAATGTTGCTGTTAAAAATGTTAGACAAATTGTTTTCTTTGTTCTATTTCAATATCTACAAGTACTATTTAAAATATGTTCCTTGTCACTTTCATGTGAGGGTATATCATCTAATGACGATGAAATTTGGGTAGGGTACTGCTGCGGATGCCTGTGCTTGACATTGATGGACTTGTTTAACACCCATAGGTTATAGTGAACTAATTTGGCTGAGAAACAGAATCCTTATGATTGATATTCTTCCCATATTTTTTTCCATGTGCTTTCTATCCCCTTAAGGATGTAATTAATAATTGTTTGTCCATAAATTACTGCAACCAAGTTTCCAGTTTATAAAGTTGAATGTTCTGAAATGACTCTCTTTCCTGAATTGTGGTTCGGGAAATTTTGATGTGTACTCAGTGGAAACACTTTCCTTTAAACTGATCTTTGAAATGATTTCCATGGATTTTGTTTAGTAGGTTGTTTCCTTATGAAAAGGGATTGCTATCTTCTGGTTTACATCTATTTTTTAATGAAGATATAACTAGAAGTGATAAGTAATTAGTTTGAGGGAACCCATATTTTATTCTCGTTTTTTAGATTTACATACAGATTTCAGAATACGGAAATATTTGTTTCTTCTGTATTTGACATGGAATCTGTTTACGGGTTTCATTTTTCAATAATGTTTTGTAGGTGATTCATATTTCTTGACACTAGTCAATCTCAAAGCTTCTGATTCTCTAAAAACCTTGTCATTGAATTGCCTATGAATTGCTTGAATATGTAAGTTTTTTCAGAATATTGATTGCCATTGATGTAGCTGTGTTGCAGATTATGGTATCCATCTTCATTAAGCTTTATGCAGAGTTTGTGTAGTGGAAATGATAGTTCTATATTAGCCGTCACAGAAGGCTGCCAGGTTTTGCCTTTTCATTTTGTATACATTTTTTTTTAAAATTTAACATTTGAGCTTATTTCTCTGTTTACACATTTTAGCATTTTTCCATCTTTTTTAATTACTGCAGCTTTCCATATGGGACTTGAGAATGAAAGAAAATGGTGGTTGTGTGCATAGGATATATGGTTCTGTTGGAGATATCTTCTATGCAGTCTGTAGTTCTTCAACTAGTATTGCAGTGGGAGGAGCTGATCGTACTGTTACCGTCTACGATCCTCGCAGGTTGGTTACCGTGTCAGGCATAATTTCATCCATTAATGGCCATTTCTGTATCCCTACAGAATTAGTGGTCTTCTTCTGTTTGTGGTTGAGCAATTAAGAATGAGGATATGTGGTATGTCCAAATGTCACATTTCATGCTTTTCAGTATAATATATCATTTCCCCTTGTTCTTAGTTTCATTTTCAATCAGACAGATTGAAAGAAAATGGAGTACTAAATTCCACTTAATCTTGCATTGGTTAATATGTTGATTTTCATTTTTACATCCTGACTGTAGGTGGTCAGCACTATCGAGATGGGTGCACTGCTCAAAATATGAGGTCGCTTAAAATTCTCAGTAACTTTTACTCCATGTTTCTTCACCAGTGGCTAGATTTTATAAGCAGAACAAAGTTGTGAATGGTCGAGTTTAGATTTTACTGCATTAACAATGAAGAATCAAATGTCTTGATTCTTATAATATAACAGTGAAGCATAAAATACTTGTGATCATTAAGTCTTGTTGACATTTGTAGGGATAGATGTCTGGGATTGTTAGTAGTCCACATGCTTCATAAATGTTTTTAATAATCAATACCAATTCAAAAGAAAAAAAACTTAGTATCTGCATAACAAATGTGAAGTGTTAACAACCCATATTTCGAAAGATATGTTTCCTGCCTATGCATTGTTGTTCACATATTTAAATTTGGCACTTCTATCGAAGAAAAAGGAAAGAAATAGAAGTCTACCCTACATAGATAGAATCCATTAGTATTTCCTTTGATTCATTTCTCCTTGTCATATGTTTTCCTCCTTGTCAATTCAATAGTGCTTTAGAGAGGTACTTTTTTTGGGCTTTGGTGTTGAAAGTTTGACAATATCTCATTACACGATTCCATCTACTCTACAAAGACCTTTATAGCTAATTTCTGAAATGAAACATATTATCTTCTAATAATTTATTTATTTATTTATTTATTTATTTATTTTTGTGTATAACCTGCAAATACACTCACATGTATGTATCTATTGTTTAAATGGGATGGTAGAGGTTTGTAAGCCAAAACAACCTGTTTACCATACATGTTAAAAGAAACGATTACTTTTCTGAATATCCTCTGTTTATATTGCCATTTTACTTTAACCATGAGAAGCTTTTGGATGATCATGCTAGAAAGTCATCAAAAATCATCCATTATCAGTTATTTATAGTTCTGGAAATTTCTTAAATTGGGCTTTTATCTTTGATTAGTCCTACAGCAGCCCGCCATTATAGGCACATCCTGTGTTCAATAATTTGGTTTGGTTGTAGGGTATGTTTTGTTGTCAAGTCTTAGGTAGAAGTTTGTCCCTTTTCTCATGATTACAAGCTAATATTTATATTTATATTTAAAATTAAAAATTAAAAATTAACTGATAAAGGTATACACGAACACACTCGTATATATCTTGCCTAACAAACTGATCTCCAAGGTTCAAATTTTCACAATCAGAAACTTGCATATCTGAGGCTTATACTTTGTTAGAGATTTTCAGAAGAGAGGAGGTTTCCTGTTCAGCTGTTCATTCATAGCTGTTCATACTGACTACAACCTTAAAGAGTCATCATTGGTTGGCTTCACCCACAATTGTTGCTGCATAAAAAGCACAACTTTTGCATTCCCTGCTCTTACTTATCATGAATTTTCAGATTTTTGTTCAAAGTACTGTAGGTTTTATATGTACTTCTGGGAGTTCTTAATTTTGCAACAAGAAAGAACTTCTATGCTGGTACTGCAGATAACTGGACTTGCTTTCGCATCAATTGACTCTGATTATATCTATATACAAGGAGTTGATTATGAGGTGATTCCCTACAAAATTTCTGAAACTGTTTTTTCTTCGTTTGTTTGCTTCACTTCACATCGGTGATGTTCTTGTCTTTTCCTCAACCTTACTAGTTCTTGCAAGTGTATGGATCTTGTTTTGGCATTCTTTCTGTATGAAATTGATATTTTTCTCAAAGGAGAGGACTTTATATCATAGTTTGTGAATTTGAGACCAGATGGATGCAACACTTTTAAGTTTGATCTTGCAGTTCTATAGGCATGAGGCAATGTTCCTTTTTGATGCGAAATATTTGCACATGTAATTTTGTCTAGTGAAAGGGGGCTGGTGCTGTAGGTTCATAATTGAGATGAGATCTGTTACAAGTCATCTTTTAAATTAACTGTCTTTTTTAACCCTAGAAAGAATTGGTGGTTTGGCTATTTGAATAGATTACTTTGTGAAATTCCGTCCAGGTGAAGACTAACAACGTGCCATAATGATCATCCATTTGCAGGTTTTGTGTGGACAATGGAAAGAAAGCAAGAAAGTCTTCTCATTTAGGGGAGATTCAAACTGGCTTGGATTTAGCAAGGTATGATATTCTCTCGGAATGTTCCCATGAAAGAATACACACTGAACCCTTTGGACACAAGTTTGTAGGTCAAAATGTCATTATTTTCTTTATTTTATTCTTGGAGTGCAAGCACATGCATCGTGCATTCACCGCATAAATGAACTGTGTTTGTACCAAAATAATATTATTCAACAATTTGTACGGAGTACATAAGATGCTATAAGGTTCATTCTTAGCCTGTGCCATGTTTTATCTTAACCATACACTGAATCGCCTAATGTCAGGAATGTCGTGAATTAAGTAGAACACCTAGGTGCAGGCTTCTGCAACATAAGAATCTGCAATGGTCATCGTACAGTTGCGCTTCCTAATCCATCGCTAAATGTTCTTTCTCTGCAGTGCGCCAACAAGGATGTTTTGGGTGGATGGTGTGATTCAGGCAGCATCTTTGTTGCTGACATTGCCAAGGAAAATAAATTGCAGACCGCGGATGATTTCTGTAATGAAGTTATCTGTTGATGCTTCAATTGGCTACTTTTTTCTCTAGTTTGCTGTACTCTTGGTGAGCATTTCATTTTTTATTTTTATTTTTTATCATCAATTACACAACTATCGACCTATTAAAATAGATTTTTGTGATCAGCATCATTTGTGGGATTTAACAATCCTATTCTGGAATATAGGTATTGGAGAATCCAAGATTGATACTTTTTCTGATCTTTTGATTAATCAACTGTATGCCTATTTTTTTCATCTTTGGATATGAAGTTAGTTACTTTTTTAATAGTTTGCAAGTTTACCTAGTGATCAATCCAATCAAATGAAATCGATTTTGTATAAATTTAGATCTTAGCAAACTTTTAGCGTGGTCGGTCATGTTAAAAGCTTCCATATATTTCGCTGACAAGAGGGGTAAGAAATTTTTTACTCTCTTTCCCTCATGTATAAGCTCAAAAAGACGGAGGAGCCTACACATGTAAAATAGAATCTTACAACTACTACTTGGGAAGTTGGAAGGTTAGTTGTATAATTCCAATCTTTTACTATACACTTTAGGCCATGTTTGTTTGGGTGGACATGGGCTTGGGATTGGACTAATAGTCCAATAAAATTATTAATCCGATGTTTGGTTAAACAATTGAAGTAGGGACTAATTATTTTAAACTTGACTATTAGTTAAGATAGGATACATAATCCAGCGTATTCGTAATCCTAGGACTATTAGTCATGGGAATGTTAATCCAGTCCGACCAAACAAACATGGCCTTATTGTAATGAGATAAAGCTTATAGTTCTCTCTTTCTCTTGTGGGGCATATGATTGATTATATAAAATGAGATTGAGATTTTTGGGGCTCAAGTTTGTGGTCCACGGTTGAGTGTGTCAATGTGATGAATTATTCAAAGGTCAAGAGGTCAAGATCGTTGCAAGGGGTGATGGATCTGCATGTTCCCTCTCTCAGAACTTCATGGGTTTTTTATTAGTCGTGTTAGGTGATTGAAAAAACGTCTTTTCTTATGGTCATTGTTGCTGAGATTATTATACAAGTTATTATATGAATTGGAAATACGTGTACTCAATCAATGGTATTTAGTGATTTATTTACTATTTTAAAATTTAATTAATTAATTAATTATGTAAGCATATAATAGTCTTGTTATTGGACAGGCATAAATATTTTGATATTTTGAAAAAACAAATAATTAGTCTGTTGAGTTGAGCCCAAACGTGACCAACCAACATTGCAGGTAACTTTTGAACAATAATTGAAGGCCAAATCTTTGGGGACACCCCTTAAATGGTTTGACATCACCACTTCCAACTCCCAATTAAGTAGTTTAAAATGGAGAGGGAGAGAGAGAGAGAGAGAGAGAGAGAGAGGTGTTTGGATAAGTTTTTGTTTCACATATATGATATTAAATGGCTTCTAAGGGTATGATAGTGACGAGGAATCAGCATTGTAACAAATTATCCAAGTGGGTTGCTGTTGACTGTCTTTTTTTTTTTTTTTTAAATGAATCAAAGTTAGAAGAATTTGATTGAAAATATTGAATACCCTCTCAACCGGTTACAATTTTGTTCACCGATTGTTGTATGTTCCATAAACCCTCTTCACTTTGTTTTCCTAAAACCATTCTTCAGACCAATCCGAAACTCCTATTCGCCCTCTTCAAACACGACTCTGGAGCTCTCTTCAGAGACGACTCCGAAGCTCCTCTTCGCCTTCTTCAGGCATGACTCCAGAGCTTTCTGTAGACACGACTTCGAAGCTCTTCTTCACCCTCGAAGACTATCGTGCGAACATAACGTGCCCTCGACTTTGCCTCAAGGTATGTCTCTCTCTCTCTCTCTCTCTCTCTCTCTCGTTGCAACTTGTTTCTCTCCCTTTCTCCATCTCCATTCTATGAAACCCTAGGCTGAAATCCCCTTCTTCGAAACTACCCCTTTCACCATTGTGAAATCCCCTTCTTCGAAGCTACCCTTTTCACCATTGTGAAATCCCCTTATTTACTGCTGTATGAGAATACTCCTCTGTTTTATAGCGGTATATGTCATTTAATTGTTGGAAATCAAGCCAGAAATAACTTCGCATGTGATAACTCAAAGCGTGCAAGCGCTTTACTATTCTCTCCAGAAACTCTTTCCTCTCTGCATTATGTTTCAGCATTGACAAAGAACATCTCAATGCCATAAAGAAAAGTGCTTGAATCTCAATAGGATAACCATAAACACCCTGAAAAATGAATACCTCCCATTAGGATATGCCAATATGTAGATTCTGGGGAATAATACAAAGCTCTTAAAGTGATTCAATAATTATATATGAAAGAAGAGTGAAGGTACACTCTGTAATTATTACTTTTTTCTTTCTTTTTGTACATTAAAACTGAACCAAGTTTCAGTAAATAATACAGCTCAAGGGTTTATTACTTTTTTTTTTAATTTTTTTTTGTGGAAATTAAAACTACTAAGTGTCAGTAAAGGATTGAATAATAATACAACTCAATAAATATGTTTCTCCTTTTCATTTTTTCTTTTTTTGATAAATAATAAATATGCTTCTCCTTTGATATGTGAATTGGCCTCTCCATTGTGTTATGATGAATGCAATAAAGCAATGAATTATCTTGACAATAAAAAAAATGCAGTGAATAATCTTGCAATCAGTATTATCAGGACTGAACCAGACTGGCCAGTCATACTGGTGAAATTGAAAATCCAGAAAGTTTATTTGAAACACTTTACTCACACATTATTACAAGCAAATCTTATGAAACCATTAAACCTGCCTATTTCAATTGTTAAAACCATTGGAATGAAGCTTAAGAAAACTTAAACCACCATATCTTGGATCACATGAATTGCCATGTCCACTACTGTACCTCTACTTAGTATCTGCATAACAAATGTGAAGTGTTAACAACCCATATTTTGAAAGATATGTTTCCTGCCTATGCATTGTTGTTCACATATTTAAATTTGGCACTTCTATCGAAGAAAAAGGAAAGAAATAGAAGTCTACCCTGCATAGATAGAATCCATTAGTATTTCCTTTGATTCATTTCTCCTTGTCATATTTTTTCCTCCTTGTCAATTCAATAGTGCTTTAGAGAGGTAGTTTTTTTGGGCTTTGGTGTTGAAAGTTTGACAATATCTCATTACACGATTCCATCTACTCTACAAAGACCTTTATACCTAATTTCTGAAATGAAACATATTATCTTCTGATAATTTACTTATTTATTTATTTATTTATTTATTTTTTGTGTATAACCTGCAAATACACTCACATGTATGTATCTATTGTTTAAATGGGATGGTAGAGGTTTGTAAGCCAAAACAACCTGTTTACCATACATGTTAAAAGAAATGATTACTTTTCTGAATATCCTCAGTTTATATTGCCATTTTACTTTAACCATGAGAAGCTTTTAGATGATCATGCTAGAAAGTCATCAAAAATCATCCATTATCAGTTATTTATAGTTCTGGAAATTTCTTAAATTGGGCTTTTATCTTTGATTAGTCCTACAGCAGCCCGCCATTATAGGCACATCCTGTGTTCAATAATTTGGTTTGGTTGTAGGGTATGTTTTGTTGTCAAGTCTTAGGTAGAAGTTTGTCCCTTTTCTCATGATTACAAGCTAATATTTATATTAAAAAATAAAAATTAAAAATTAACTGATAAAGGTATGCACGAACACACTCGTGTATATCTTGCCTAACAAACTGATCTCCAAGGTTCAAATTTTCACAATCAGAAACTTGCATATCTGAGGCTTATACTTTGTTAGAGATTTTCAGAAGAGAGGAGGTTTCCTGTTCAGCTGTTCATTCATAGCTGTTCATACTGACTACAACCTTAAAGAGTCATCATTGGTTGGCTTCACCCACAATTGTTGCTGCATAAAAAGCACAACTTTTGCATTCCCTGCGCTTACTTATCATGAATTTTCAGATTTTTGTTCAAAGTACTGTAGGTTTTATATGTACTTCTGGGAGTTCTTAATTTTGCAACAAGAAAGAACTTCTATGCTGGTACTGCAGATAACTGGACTTGCTTTCGCATCAATTGACTCTGATTATATCTATATACAAGGAGTTGATTATGAGGTGATTCCCTACAAAATTTCTGAAACTGTTTTTTCTTCGTTTGTTTGCTTCACTTCACATCGGTGATGTTCTTGTCTTTTCCTCAACCTTACTAGTTCTTACAAGTGTATGGATCTTGTTTTGGCATTCTTTCTGTATGAAATTGATATTTTTCTCAAAGGAGAGGACTTTATATCATAGTTTGTGAATTTGAGACCAGATGGATGCAACACTTTTAAGTTTGATCTTGCAGTTCTATAGGCATGAGGCAATGTTCCTTTTTGATGCAAAATATTTGCACATGTAATTTTGTCTAGTGAAAGGGGGCTGGTGCTGTAGGTTCATAATTGACATGAGATTTGTTACAAGTCATCTTTTAAATTAACTGTCTTTTTTAACCCTAGAAAGAATTGGTGGTTTGGCTATTTGAATAGATTACTTTGTGAAATTCCGTCCAGGTGAAGACTAACAACGTGCCATAATGATCATCCATTTGCAGGTTTTGTGTGGACAATGGAAAGAAAGCAAGAAAGTCTTCTCATTTAGGGGAGATTCAAACTGGCTTGGATTTAGCAAGGTATGATATTCTCTCGGAATGTTCCCATGAAAGAATACACACTGAACCCTTTGGACACAAGTTTGTAGGTCAAAATGTCATTCTTTTCTTTATTTTATTCTTGGAGTGCAAGCACATGATCATGCATTCACCACATAAATGAACTATGTTTGTACCAAAATAATATTATTCAACAATTTGTACGGAGTACATAAGATGCTATAAGGTTCATTCTTAGCCTGTGCCATGTTTTATCTTAACCATACACTGAATCGCCTAATGTCAGGAATGTCGTGAATTAAGTAGAACACCTAGGTGCAGGCTTCTGCAACATAAGAATCTGCAATGGTCATCGTACAGTTGCGCTTCCTAATCCATCGCTAAATGTTCTTTCTCTGCAGTGCGCCAACAAGGATGTTTTGGGTGGATGGTGTGATTCAGGCAGCATCTTTGTTGCTGACATTGCCAAGGAAAATAAATTGCAGGCCGCGGATGATTTCTGTAATGAAGTTATCTGTTGATGCTTCAATTGGCTACTTTTTTCTCTAGTTTGCTGTACTCTTGGTGAGCATATCATTTTTTATTTTTATTTTTTATCATCAATTACACAACTATCGACCTATTAAAATAGATTTTTGTGATCAGCATCATTTGTGGGATTTAACAATCCTATTCTGGAATACAGATATTGGAGAATCCAAGATTGATACTTTTTCTGATATTTTGATTAATCAACTGTATGCCTATTTTTTTATCTTTGGATATGAAGTTAGTTACTTTTTTAATAGTTTGCAAGTTTACCTAGTGATCAATCCAATCAAATGAAATCGATTTTGTAGAAATTTAGATCTTATCAAACTTTTAGCGTGGTCGGTCATGTTAAAAGGTTCCATATATTTCGCTGACAATGAGGGGGTAAAAATTTGTTTTACTCTCTTCTCATGTTAGGCCCCAATTGTTCCGGAAGACGAGCGAGCTAACATGTAAAATAGAATCTTACAACTACTACTTGGGAAGTTGGAAGGTTAGTTGTATAATTCCAATCTTTTACTACACACTTTATTGTAATGAGATAAAGCTTATTGTTAGTGTCTCTTTTTCTCTTGTGGGGCATATGATTTGATTATATAAAATGAGATTGAGATTTTTGGGGCTCAAGTTTGTGGTCCACGGTTGAGTGTGTCAATGTGATGAATTATTCAAAGGTCAAGAGGTCAAGATCGTTGCAAGGGGTGATGGATCTGCATGTTCCCTCTCTCAGAACTTCATGGGTTTTTTATTAGTCGTGTTAGGTGATTGAAAAAACGTCTTTTCTTATGGTCATTGTTGCTGAGATTATTATTCAAGTTATTATATGAATTGGAAACATGTGTACTCAATCAATGGTATTTCGTGATTTATTTACTATTTTAAAATTTAATTAATTAATTAATTATGTAAGCATATAATAGTCTTGTTATTGGACAGGCATAAATATTTTGATATTTTGAAAAAACAAATAATTAGTCTGTTGAGTTGAGCCCAAACGTGACCAACCAACATTGCAGGTAACTTTTGAACAATAATTGAAGGCCAAATCTTTGGGGACACCCCTTAAATGGTTTGACATCACCACTTCCAACTCCCAATTAAGTAGTTTAAAATGGAGAGAGAGAGAGAGAGAGAGAGAGGTGTTTGGATAAGTTTTTGTTTCACATATATGATATTAAATGGCTTCTAAGGGTATGATAGTGACGAGGAATCAGCATTGTAACAAATTATCCAAGTGGGTTGTTGTTGACTGTCTTTTTTTTAAAAAAAAATGAAGCAAAGTTAGATGGTTTAGTGGGAAATAAGCATCCAAATAAGAAACCCAAACTTTTTATTTTATTTTATTTTATGGATGTTCAAAATTTTATGCTGATTAATTTTCAAGTATATATAGTTTCTCTATTTAATTATGGAGCATAGTTTTGCAAGTTACCTTAAAAAAAGTAAAAAATAGAACTATAAATCTATATTTTAAAATTTAAACCCTAAACCTTGACTAAATATTTTAAATTATGTTTTTGGTTAGATAAATATTTCATAATTCTAAATAAAAATTTTCAGAACTTTCTTAAAAAAAAGTCAATAATTATTATTTGCCCGACAAGTAAACTTACACAGTGCTTTTTATAATCTATATGTATGAGAAGTGATTACCTGCTTATGGCTTGTCTTTTTTCTTTTTCTTTTCTTTTTTTTTTTCTAATTTTGCCTTTTTATTTTGAATAATTTATTAATGGTGACTAATATGTTGACTTTCCCATTTTACGTTTTTCTTTGGTAATATTAACCAATATTGGTGGTACTAATTTGAGTGAAGATTTTTTCATAATTACTTAAACATTCTTGCTCAATTATAAAACATAAATCTTTTTTTTTAACAAATTATAATTACACCATAAGGTTTGTTTAAAATATGAAGTGGTCTTATAATAATAGAAATTACAACTATCGCTTGTTATAGATTTTAATTTAACACAATAATTAGGGGGGGAAAATAAAATAAAAAATTACTCTCCTATGCAACAATAAATTATCAAAATTGTTCACTAAAAAATATTTCTCATATTATTAAAAGCTATTAATTGACGTAATGCTTTATTTAATAACAAAATGATTAACTGAAAGTTTTTTTTTTTCATATCATTGAAATTTGTTAATTGACTTAATGATTTATTTCTTAATAAAATTGGTTATTTGTTATGTAAGCATAATTTATTTATTAATAAAAATGATCATTTGTTAGAAGATTTGTTAGATACCTATGGATCTAAAAAGAAAGAAAAATAAATATGAATGACAAATTCATTAAAACAACCGAAAATCCATCATAAAATAATTTTTTAAAACATCAAACCAAATATAATAATTTGTTAGAATATTTAGATTTTCGAAATTTAAATTTACCACAATAATATACGGGTCTAAAAAATATTTAAAAAACCAAACCAAATAAAATAATTTACTAGAAGATTTATACTTTTAAAATTAAAATTTACTTTATTAATAAAATTGATCTTTTATTATGCAAATATAATTTATTTATTAATAAAATATATCATTTGTTAGAAAAAAAAAATTTGTTTTTTAGGACTTAGAAAATTTGTTAGATGCATGTAAGATCTAAGTAAAAATATGTGCATGCATGGCACAAATTATCAATAATATAATTGTAAATCACCAAATGCTGTAGGACCCACCCTTCTCAAGTATAAAGATAAAGATATGTACTGATCTGTATTGGAGATGTGAAACTTTTGGGAGATCTTGAAGCTTAGACCCTAAGGATCAAATAGCAAAGGGCCACTGGCTAGTTATTGAAAGGGCCACTGGCTAGTTATTGAGTTAATAAATTAATAATGTATTTTATTCATAAATTTAGATAAAAATTTAAAAAGAAAAAAATATATATATATATATAAATATTTTTGAAATATAATTATATTTTATTTATATTTATTTATTTATTTTAATTTCTATCTAAATTTACGAACCATTGTCACACTTTTTAAATAGTGTAAGGATTCCTTTTTGAGTATGTGTAAAAATGTTGTCATCTTTGCCTAATGTAATTATTATTTTATTTTATTTTTTATTTCTCGCTTCTTTGGGGCAAATAAAATCCCTATTTTATATTCTAGAAGAACAAGAGACGTGCGGAAATAGCCAAACATATAGATACAATGATACAACCACATAAATAATTTAAGACTTCATGTTTGTCCCACATGTAATGGGTTCATAGAATTACTAATTTTTTTTAAGGATAAATTATAAATATACCAGCTGGGATTTGATTAAAATATAAATCATAATTTATAGTTTTGTAAGTTACATTCCATCCCTTGATATTTTTAATTTCATAACAAATCGCTTCTTTTATTAATAAATTATCAAGTCAATTAACATTTTTTAATGATGTTATAAACATATTTTAATTAATAATTTAGGTAATTTTATTATTGTATAGGAGAGCAATTATGAATTTTTTTTTAGTTAATTTTGTTAAATAAAAAATTTTAACGAGGAGATATCTATAATTTTTCAAACTACAAGAGGCAATATATACTTAAGCAAATCTCAAGAAATGTATTTATAATTTATCCTTTTTTTTAAGAGTGATAGTATATAAATAGAAATTTTATATAGAATAAGTTAGTGATGTATGTTTATTTATTTCAAATAAAAAAAAAATTATTAAAATAATTTATAATTTAAAAAATTTCACTGTTGTTGCCATTGTCACATATTTTTTGTGAGACTTTCTATATAAATTATTTATTTGTAAATTATTTTCTATTTTTAAAAGGCGTCAGATGAGGGATATACCATTCATGGACTTGAAAGATAGTCTCCCATTTTGTGAGATGTTGATACTGCATTGTTACTATGGTCTTCAAATTACACTTTACTCCCTCAATTATTATTATTTTTCATTTTTTCCCCTCAAATTAAAAATTAATATAATGTATTCCCTTCATCTTCTAAAAATTTTCAATTTAATCCTTATGTCTTTATTTTGTTAACAAAATAAACGGAAAATATACATGTAAGGTACATATCATATTTATGACATACCTTTAAAGAGTATTTTCGTCATAAATATGACATGTGCACATTTAGGGTGAGGATGATTCAGATTGGACCAGATTGAGGTAAAACCAAAACCAATCTGTTATCTACGGTTCCTGAAAAATTAAAACCAATCCAATCCGTTTAAATCATGGAACCAATTCGAACCAATCCATTTAAACAAGGATTGGATCGATTTAGGACCACAGATTCACATAATTAAATAACAAAAAAATATATATATATATATATATATATAACACTTTAATTTCATAAAAACATAAATATAGCGTTATATTAATTCCACAATAGCAACATGTTTTTCTATAATAACGACATGCTGTTCTAAAATTTAAACAACCATAAGAAAACTAGTTTCACCATAAATATTTAGACCATTACAAATTAAAACTAAAAACTAACAAATAAAAATAATAAAAGAAGATATTATATGGATTTAGATTTGAGTTTAGGTTTTATATAGAATAAGAGAAAATATTATGGGGAATGATGTATAATAAAAATATAGATTATTTGTATAAGGTCCGGATCGGATTCAATCCGGAACCAATCCGTGGACTACGGATTTTTAATTCTTCAATCCGGAACCGAATCACGGATTCAAAAAACCAATCTAAACCTATCGGACTGGACTGGACTGGACTGGATCGGATTACGAATTTCACGGATTTCTTGCTCAGCCCTATGCACAATACATGCACCTTTTCTTATTTTTGTTAACAGAATGGAAATATAAAGATTAGATTGAAAATTTTTGGAATATGAAGAGGATACATTGTATCAATTTTTAGTTTAAAGGGGTAAAATGAAAAATCGTAATAGTTGAGAGGAGTAAAGTGTGATTTGCCCTACTATATATGTATATAAGAAAATATTTTTATATTTTCAAAAGATGACATATCACTAAAATATTTTATTGAATTTTTTTAACTCTTATATAGTATGGGAGATTTTATTTTATTTTTAAATATTAAAATAAAATTATAAAATATCTTGAGTAAAGTAACAAATATATATATAATTTATAAAAGAACAGCACTTACAAACACAACTATAAAGTGGAATTATTATTAAAATAGATTTTCTTATTTAAAAAAAACAAT